CCCCCAAAACCCCAAAACCCCAAAACCCCAATCGCATGAAAATTATTTGAAAAATTATTTTAAAGCATGAATTTACCCTTTGGACAAACCCATCATGGCCTGATATCAAGGCTTAACGGTAATTATTGATCTAAGCATTAGCGAGCGCTGGATCAGTTCCTGAGAAAGAGTTTAGAGCACGAATTCGAAATACCAAATCTCGGATCGCTGATGTTTTTCATAAATAAAGGCAATGGAAACTTCCCTGAATATCAAGATAATATAGGCCAGTACAGGAGTATTTCGATTAACAAAGGTCAGCTTTCTTCTATGCTGAAAGCAAACCTTTCTAATCGGAGGGTCCAGAAGCGGAATATGGTCCAAGAAGACGACCTTTTGGAAATCCCTGATTCTGCTCCAATGAACATCTCTGAAAATACTATTTCATATCACGTTAATAAAGGAGATTTGAGAGTCAAAAGTCAGCTAAAGCCGACTACCCAGAAGAAGATCTGCTCGAATAAAGTTTACAGGACTAAGAAAAGGAAAAAGACTATTGAGAAGAAAGCCAAGTCCAACAAGAAAGGATCGATATTCGGCAGCACAGAACTTCAAATTAGCACATTGTTTAAGCTAAATCGTCAGGAAAGCGAGGACACTAAAGTAAAATTTTGAATTAATCTCTAGCCGAAATAGAAAGCTCAAGGAGTACGAGCAAATCAGGCACAACATTGCTCACGCTAATAAAGTTAAAGCAGACTTTACAAAGGCATTGAAGATGAATGAGGATGACTATCTTCAGGAATTCAAGGAAAAAGCTTCAGCCATTACTGATAAGATGAATAAAATTAATAACGGAGATGGCTCTTCTGCCTTGTTCAATCTTAATATGCACCAAGATTATATCATCAGCAAGCTTGGATTGAAGAAGAAACTCACTGGACATGATCTGGTCATCAAAATCTTGCTTTTTAAGATCCTTGGACTTACCAGTCAGAACCAAGAGGAGTCAAAACAGAAAGTTGAGCAATCAAAGCCAAAGAGTGCAATGTCAGTGAGGTTTGCAAGGACTAATTATAATATGCCTTCTAATCGGAGATTCTTACAAGGAAATCTGAGGAGCTGAAGTCAGGAAAAACGTAAGCCAGGAACTCATCAGGGGCCTAGGTTTATCCACAACTACACCTCTTCGGGGATAATTAACAACTGGAGGACGCATGATAAGAGTAAATAAGCATACCAGCTCTCTTGACGCTAACAGTACTAGGAAAGTGAACAAGGATCTATTTTCAATTGATGGAATAACTAAGGATAGTGTAGAGAAGGAGAGTCCAAAATCAACGATAAATAAAATTATTGACCAATGCTACCAAGCTGGGGACCCTCAACTTGAAAGCCTAGACCATGATTTTACCAACAATGATTCTTTATTTAACCTCACACAGAATTTAGCAGAGAAACAGCACAAGGTGTTTCAGAATATCAGAGAAGGAACTCATATGAAGCCCTCAGGCCAGGATGACTCAAGCAAGCGCTCTATAGATGGCTTAAAGAAGAAGGTTACTTTCCAAGTTGACCAGAACGAGGAAAGATCACCTTTGAAAGGAATTGATAACCTAAGCATCCTCAGCATGTCTGAATCCATCGAAAGTGAGGATTCAGATTCCAGCAATTTCGTATACAGCAACTCTCCGATTAAATGTGAGAATAGAAATCGGAGAGAAGTACGATTCAAGAGGGTGAGCCGGAGGATGAACGAGTTCTATAAACCTGCACTGATGACAAAGAACTTTGAGAAGCAGCTGCCATTATTCTTGTCTGAGAAGAACATGGCTTATCTTTCTCAGCTGTTTAAAACAAGCCAGCACGAAAACAAATATGTGAACAATGCAACGAAAACTAAGGGATTTAAGAGGAAAAAGTTTATTAACCAACAGAAGACCAAGACCCAGGATCGGCTCGGAGAGTTGAGCACACAAGACGATATAAAGAGTTTCTTAAAGAAGGACCCTAGCGAAATCTTCTCAAATGCATTAGCTAACTTCTGGTTCAAGGATGCTGATAAGTTCTTGAAGCAAAGAAAGTCTAAGCACATCCGTAAAGAGTCTCTATGGGATATTCATGAGGAAAATGTCTACCAGCGGATGGATAAAGATATAGAGAAAAGGAAGAACAGAGGAAAAAGTGCAAATTCATAATTTAATTGTTAAGAAAACTCTTAAATTGGGGTTTTGGGGTTTTGGGGTTTTGGGGTTTTGGGG